TGCAAGGCTTTATGTATGGGCTCTGAGGAGACACAGTACTATATATATTATGACATGTATAGTAGATCAGGGATAGTTGCCCTTTCGGCTTAGCCGCCGGGCGTTAATAAATTGTGTGTGTGTGTGTATCTATCTGATTTGATTTAACGGATTTCCGCCTGCCTATGTATCAACCTATATCTTGAATTTTCGTTTCCAAGCTCCACTATAGCTATCCACAAAGCCTCTAAGGTCTATCCTTTTTGCTACGTAAGTTATTCACTTATTGTTCGCAACGAGACGGTACTTCACTATCCAATGAGCTTCTAAGGTCGCGCTGGAGGAGCGCATATTGTTTCACATGCTGATTGTATGAATCAAAATCTTCCTATGTGAATGGTAACGGTGTTCTAGAGTGAACTAAGTGTGATTGCAGGGTCCCAGTGATTTTCCTGAGTTATTATAGTAATGCAGCTATGGCCTTGTGTTCTTAATCACATTCTATGCTCATGTAATTTGTTATTTTATTAACTATCATGGGTGTGCGTACTATAAGGTAATATATATACAGGTGCCAGCAGCTGACATGTCAAACATGATACTTGGACAACAAGGGATGTGCATAGAATACATATTTGTTGATTCAGCCCAGATAGCAAATAGAGAGCGTCCGCATCCTTAGTGAGCAAGTTGTTCCCATTCCCCCATTGTACCATTACTAGGAAACACTCAATTTAAACTACAGCCTATTTAGAATGTATCCTTTTCCCCTTCTCCCCATCCTGAAATTGCCCGAAATCAAAGGTTGATATTCATTCTGAGTGTAAATAAACAGAAGCAAAACGGAGACGACTTAACAAGTATGCCGAGCAAAGTCCTCACATCGCCAGCGATGGAAAACAAAATTTGCTGCCATTCCCGCCACATTAATGCCAGGATAATTGGATCACTTTCAAATGCCGAGATCTTTGGCCGCTTTCCCCCACCCTAGATATCCACACCCATATCCATATCATCTTCTACAACGTAGCCTTGCTTCCTCAGCTCGTCCATATAAACGTATGCAGCAGCTTCAAATCTCGCAATGTATTTATCGTCGAGGCTACTGAAATCAGTTTCCGGAATTCCCACTCTTCCCAACCATCTCTTATAGAACTTGCTTAATTTTGGTGGAGGCCGATTTTGACCAGATCCGCTGCTTATATCATTATTGAGGCCATTGTTGTTCGGACCGTTGCTATCCTGACCACTGGTATTCTGACCACTGGCGTTCCGAGCATTAGTACTGAAGCCATCGACAAACAGGTCATTGTCTTCATCGTCCTCATCGTCCAATTCCTGCTTCACCGAAACTGAATCAAGCCGCTGTGTGTTTTTCACCGCTGGTTGGCGACTCCCTAGCCTCCACCCCTCGGGGCCCAGCTCCAAACTTTGTGCACTTGGCATCGAAGGCTCTCTTGTACGCTCGCGCTTTATTCTCTCCTCCTTCTGTGCCTTGAAGGAATCCAGCGGGCAAGGGGTGGGTGAACGATCAGGGCTGTCTCTTCCTATTTGGCCTTGCCACTGATTGTGACGTTCCTCCTGCTTATCCCAAGCCTCGGAGATCTTTTGCTCTGCTGTGGCTGAGTCGGTGAGTCTAACCAGATCTACCTTGGTAATCCAGGAGTTGCCTCTGGTCAACAGTTTCTGATGCGCAGCATCGATTCCTTGCCATTTAATTTTGACAAAGGCCGGGGGAGCAGTTTTGTAGACTTTGTCAATGTCTTTTCTTTCATAAAATGCCACACCGACAATGCCGACGATGTTGTCCCTGCTGTATCTATAATGGTCTTCCCCGTCCTCCCCTTCGTACATCACGTGCGAAATTCGGGTCTTTAGTTTGGATACTTTCTGCAGCCCTTGGGTGCTGTACCCATTTCCAGGCTGAACCCGATATTTTGCCGCCTTGTAGGGTCCATACCGAACCAGCAATACGTTTGACCGTCCAAGACGACTCCAGGCATCTGGTTCTCCGTCGTGATCGCGACCAATTGAGAGCTTCTTCAGGTCGGTCAGGACTTCATCCAACGATTCCGACGAGTCATTGGCGCCGACAGGAGAGGGACTACCAGATTCAGCTGCGTTCTCAGCCATATGACCCGACCTTGGGCTGGCTCTAGGGGATTCAGATGGTTTCCTTTCAGACTCAGCGTCTCCCATAGGCTGGTCGTTCGGTTCATCTGGAACCGCTTCTCCCGTACCATCTGGGCTTGGCTGCTCCTCTTGAGTGTTGTACGGGGGCTTCGACTGTGACTGAACCGACTGACTTTGGTTGGTTGTATGCGCACCAGTATCTTTACTGGAACCTGGCTGAATGTACGAGGCTTGCGCATCCGCAGCAGCAGCCTTGGGTTGGGAAAGACCACTCCCGCTTTCAACCAGATTTTGCAGCCTTTCTACATTATCCTTTGGTTGCTTGTTTCTCGTACTGCGTCTTAAAACTCCTTCAGCGTTTGAGGAAGACATAGCCCAGTATAGCTGAGGATGCTCTCCGAAATAGATAAATGGATATTCTTGAGACGGATGAAAGGGCTTCCCTTATTTATATTTCCAAGTGTATGGGAGACTATCTTGCTTGCGTCTTTGTTGTCTGTCCCTTCCCACATCCTCCCTCCTCGTTCCCCAGAGATTGCCACCCACCGAAAATGGATGTTTTTACCATTAGCCTAACCACCCTCTCTTAACCACCCTCTCTTAACCACCCTCTCTTAGCCATTCTTACTAAAAGCCATTGGTTTATATCATTTGTTAACCGTTGCACGATGTCTGACCTTCTCTCTCACGATGTTTCCTACTAAGGTGTATTGGTTAGGTCCTAGACAATATACACAGGCCAGGGCGGCCTCGATTCAGCAGCTGCTTCGCTCTTGCTATTCACCTTAAAAAGCCCAGT